ATATGGTGCACAGGTGATGTTGGAATGCAGGTTTGGGGTTTTATGTCTAGGAGAACCTGCGCTGCGTCCTCGTGGTCCTGCAGAGGGTCACACACCAACGTGTTCGACTTGTTGTCAAATTAAGGACGGGTGTCACGACCCGGCTTGTCTCTCTGCGCGCCTCGGCTCGTTATTCCACCCCACTCAACCTGACGCCGCTGATCACAACGGATCATAAAATATTCCCGAGCAGGAATGTGCGTCGGGATGGAACCGATTCATCATGGCCGCCGAGCCGTCGACCTGCAGCTATTGGAGACTCGGACTGGGCCTTCAGTTTGGACCCGGACTTCCAGGGATCAGTTTGCTGCTCACATTTATACGTTAAAGGTGAACCAAACAAACCTGAAGACAGAGCTGTTTAACTTTGTTCTGAGAATGCTGAGTCAGCGTTCAGTTTCCTGTTTGTCCTTTATTTCATCTACACCCCCCCCCCCCCACACACACACACACACACACGTTTACCATGAAATATTAGTTCACCCAGCACTGCTTTTATTTCTTCGTGGACAAGTTATTCCACTTGATTAACAGGAAAATGCTCAAACACTAAAAGTCCACTCCAGGTTTTCCTGGTTACCAACAACTACTGCTCACGAGGGGAGGAGGGGGAGTCATCTCTGTTTCGCGAGCTAGCTTAGCGCCACCTTAGTGCTAGCAGTTGTTGACGGGGGTGGGGGGTTAGGATGTGAAAAAGAAGCAGCACACTACCTCTGTAGCATCTTAGCTGCTAGCTTAGTTCTACGTTACTTCTGGCTGTTTTTGACCTGGGGGGCGGGGTCTAGGATGCTTGACAGAAGCGGCACATGCTCTATTCACACAAGGGGAGCTGTTGGTCAGGATACTTCTTGTTTTTCTCTAAAATAGTTGTTGAATCAAGTGTTTATTTATGGAGGAAAACGTAGATGTTCAGCAACCTGTTAAAATACACCAGAATGCAGGAACTGGCTTCTACTTCATCCCCCCCCCCACACACACACACACACACACACATTACAAATGCTTCTGGTTTATTTTGTACCTTTTTTTCATTCAAACTACTTCTGCAGACTTTCTGCTGTTTAACCAAACATTTATCAAAACGTTCAGCTCGATCAAAGTTATCCTTCTCTCTCTAAAAATATTTAACTTTATTTAAAATGAAAATCCCTTTGATCACTCCTGAATCAATTTGATCTTAAACTTGCTTCAGCTGCTGGCTTGGTTTTTATCTTCTTATGCTACATTTAGCTTTTAGCTACAGCCTTTAGCTGGGTGGTGCAGTTGATAGAGCTGCCGCTTCTCAGTGATAAGGTCACCGGTTCAAATCCCAGCCGGGGGCCTTCATGGGTGGAGTTTGCATGTTCTCTCCGTGCTGCGTGTTTCTCCAGGTACTCCGGTTTCCTCCCACAGACTAAAAACATGCATGTTAGGCTGATGGTGACTCTAAACTGTCCGTAGGTGAGAGAGAGAGTGGTTGTTTCTTGTTTGTCTCCATGTTTCCCTTTCGGCTGTTGTTTTTCTAATCTTTGCTACAATTATGCTAACTTAGCTACTGTTCTGCTGCTTTTAGTTTTCTCTTCTGCTCATTTCACCCTCTAGTTTGCTAGCTTTAGCTTTCAGCTACATCCAGTTTTGTTCTGTTTTCAGCTCCTGTTCGGCTTGTTTTAGCTTTAATAATTAAATCATTTCTTTCCAACAGACGTCGTTCCTTCAGATGAAACTTATAAACCTCAGTGGTGCGGCCATGTTGTTTGTAGAGAGAGGAGGCCGTGACCTTTGACCTGCTGACTGAGGCCTGTAGAGGCTGAGATGGAGCTCATTTCTCTGAGCACTGCACAGTCTGACCTTCAGGGTGAATCTCCTGTGAAATCTGTCAGCTGTCTGAGATGTTTTTCACTCGTAAATAACGTTTCTCTCTGAACAACGAGCGGCTCCACATAGTTTAGAAGCGTTTCACAGACTGAGGTTATTGCTGATGTCTTTCCGTCTTGGCGTTGTGTTAATGTACACCTGGAACTAGTTTTATTTTTGTTTCTGTTTTATAATTAACAACTCGGTGGAATCTGTTGTGTTTTTGTTCACCTCAGGTTAGAGCTGAGTCGTTTCAGGACCAGACCACTTTGTAAAAACCTGGAACTGGACGAGGAGGAACTTTACTGCATCAACCGTTTATTTGACCATATTCTAAAACCTGAAGCCGCAGTAAACATCTGCAGATACGTCGTTCAGATGCAGCACACAGCTGCTGTTTGGTGAGAGGGAGGACGGTAACGTGTGAATGCCTGAATATAGCTTAATTCAAAAAGGTCGGCTTAAATAAAGAACAAATGGGCCCAAAAGGATGAGATTAAAAGTAGGACTCTGGATGTGTAACATCTGCAGCCATTAAAGCTGGTTCACAGCGTCACGTTTAATATCGGCCTCGTGTAACGTGGATGTAAAAGCAGCGTCGAGAAGCCCAGATGTATTCTGTCCCATCAGACACATTTTTGTGCAGCCTAATTTTTCTCCAAGCCCAGAATTTCATTCAGAGATGTTCTCCAGATAAAAGCAATAATCTCAGCGTGATGGATGGCCCAGCCACAGCCCCGGGCCGGCGGTGTGTGCACGCCGCTCCGGTTGCCGGGAGTGATAAAACCAACACGAGCAGGTGTGTTGGTTTAGATGCACTTGTCAGGAGAGGTGGCAGCCATGTCTGTGTTCAGTGGAGTGAGCCTCTTATCTCCACCTCCATGTCCCACTCATGAGACAAAAGCACTTCCAGTGTTTGTACCATTTACTCCTTCTCAAGTAAGAGCGCACACGCACGCACGCACGTACACACACACACACACACAGGATGGATCAACACAAATAGCCGTATCACATCGTGGAATGGTCTTACTGGTAAATCTGTATTTGGTTTTAAAAAAGATGAACAATTCCACTTTCTTTATTGACCTGATTGATAAATTAAATAAGATGTGAAAATCAAAGAGCTTTTAAAACTGTAAAACAATCTCGTGCCTTTTTTCTGTTTTTTTTCTTTTGTACCTTTTGAATTTTTCAGGATTTTGAATAAACTAAATACAAAAATAAATACATAAATAAATAATCTGCAGATATTTCAAAATGACTGATTATAATTTTTCATTGATTATATTTCTTTCTAAAGATGGATGACGCTTACATGCTAGGCTAGAAAACTAAAAAAAATCATAATTCATTCATCCGTAGATGTTTATACATGTGGTCATAATATTATTTATCATATTTATATTAAGTCAAAATCAAAAGACAACAAATAAAATCAAAAAGCAGCATAAAAACAAATAACTTGGGAATGTGACATTAAACATAACAGTTAATATCAATGAACATGACTAAAACAAGTAACATTATTATTATTATTATTAATACTAATAATAAAGTGCATACACAAAAACAGAACTCTTAAGTTAAATATTTCTATAGTGAAGTTCATGAAGTAACTTTGAGGAACTCAAACAGAATTTAAAGAAAACTACAGTGTGAATGCTTATTGCTGAAGAACTTGCTGAGAAACAGCTGAAATTAGTTAAAAACATGCTGAAATGAAAGAACCTAAATTAGCAGAAAGAACACATTTTTGCTGAATTGGGTTTAAATAAACAGAAATTAGCACAAAAATGAGGAAATTAGCTAAAAACGTGCTGAAATTAGCAAAAAATAGCTTAAAAGTAGCCAAAAATCAGAAAGAAGCTTTTAGGGATTCAAGGTTCGTTGTCGTTCACATCACATGTGGTACATGAGGCGGAACGAAATTGTGTACTTAAACTCCCAGAAATAAGCAGAAAGAGCTGAAATGAGCTAAAAAATGGGGAATTTACTGAAGAAGAAAAAAACACTAACATTAGCATAACAGCTAAATTGTAGCTGAAATAGAAAAAACTAAAATTAGCAGGAAAAAGCTGAATGGAGCATAACAAGCTCAAATTAGCAGAAATGAGTTAATTAGGCTGAAAGGAGCAAAAATTACCATGAAAAACTTGAATGTATCTGAAAACAGCTCAAATTAGCTAAAACTAGCTGAAAAGGTAGAACAATTTTAAATTAGCAGAAGAAAGCAGAAAGAACATGTTAGGCTGAAAGAAGAACAAATGAGCACAGAAAAGTGGAATATATCTTTTAAAAAGCTGAAATTAGCAACAACACAAAAACAGCTGAAAAGTAGCTAAAAACGCAAAAATTACCAGCAGGAAGTGGAGAGAGCACGTTTTTTCTAACTTAAGCTGAAAAAAGTTGAGATCAGTGCAAAAAATGTGGAATTAGGTGAAAAAGCTTAAATTAGCATAGAAACAGCTAAATAGTAGATGAAATAGTAGAAAAAGCTAAAACTAGCAGAAGTAAGCTGAAATTAGCAGAATGAAATTAGAAGAAGCACAAAAATGTTTTAGTGCACAACTGATGAAAAAATAGCTGAAATTAGCTTAAAGTGGCTGAAAAAGTTTAAATTTACTAATTGGCTTTTATGTTTGTGAATGTTTCTGTAAAGTCCTGAGACAACTTTGATGTGATTTGGTGCTTTATAAATAAACTGAATTAAATTTGCAGAAGGAAGCTGAAGCAGAACAAAATGTGAAAGGAGCAGGTTGTAAACAGATCTATTTTGAAGGATGCAAAGTGAGTTCAACTCATTTGTGAGAAAAAAAAAATGTCAGAAAAGGCTAAATATTTCAAAAAGCTAAAGCTGCACCAACACCAAAAGTCACAGCAGGATTGTCCTGAAAGAGCCGAACGTTTTGATTTATTTGTTGAAATATCGTAAAAACTGCGGAACGAGAGTCGCGCTGGAAAACGTACAAAGAAAAATGGATCACGACATGCTTCATAAACATTCACACAATAAATATTAATCTTTGTTAATCACAATTTGGTGGTTTCAACAGTGACGGTGGTTGAGGTTCAGAAAGCCTTCGTGTTTTATTCATAGGGTGGGTCGATCAGGAAGTGACGTCAGAGCCGGAAGTAACGCGCTCCTCTGTTGGTCGGCGAAGAGCCGCTAAAACAACAACAAGCGGTACAACTCCACTTTCAGGCGTTGTAGCCTGGAAAAGTACCACATGAATGTATTTATGGCGGCCGTCTCTGCCGAGCTGAAGTGCTGAATGTCCGTCCGGTGTCGAACAAAGTGAATGTGAGGTAAAAACAGCTCGTGATGCTAAACGTTAGCTTAGCTGGTCGCTGTGAGAGAGATGCTACATGTTAGCTTAGCTGATAGCAGCTAACAGCCTGAAGGCGCCAGAGCAAAACTTCACAACCTGGATTTGTTGTAACAGTGAAGGGTTTAAGTTACTTTGTAACAACATTTGTTTATGTTAGTCTGATGAGTAACGATTTATGGTGACGAAGATGCTCTTTTAAAGAAAAACCACGTTTATTTTGTTTGGTTTGCTAGGAAGAAAAGGCATTTATTTTAGATAACTATCATGTAATCCTAGTCCATCTGTATTCTAATCTGTGGGTGGTATCGATTTTGTAGCTTCAACTTTAACATCCACAAACAAAGCCTGTTAGCTAAATAATTTGTGAATTACTTAATGTATTTACATTTATCTTTCAGGGTTTAGTAATTGTTTATACAAACGCACCCTATTAGTTTTGTAGCCAGTCTAATTCAAGATGGCGGTCACAGCCAATCGATCGTAGTTTAAATCAGTTTTAGACATGGACCTGTGGCTTGACGTGGTAGTAGCTGAGAGTCTCACATCGTGCTGTTTGAGGTTTGACTGAAATGGCTGCGACCGTATCATGAAGTGCAGCGGGCGACATGCATTCCTCAGGCTGTTCTGTGTTTTTGACTTTATCTCGTTTTCACTCCAGTTTTATGTTAAATTAACTCCCCGTCCTTGAACAGTCTTAATATAAAGGTTTCAGAGGAACTGGAACAAGTCCTGGAAAACATTCAGCTGCTTTGTTTGTCTCCTGCAGATGACTCAGCGGTGGCTTGGACATCTGTGATTCAACTAAAGATGAACGAGACGTGCGCCGCCCGTCAGACTTGTCACTGCTTGTTGTCGTAGCAACGCACCGACGTCGTGAATCATGACTGTTGCACATTGTACTCACCGAAACAACTAACTGCAGAGAAGTAAAATAATAAAGTCGTGGTGAATGGATTTCAGATAAGACCGGCGCTAAGCATGTCTCTGGGCGAGCAGTCTCACAAGTGGTTTCCGACCCATGTCCAAGCCACGGTTCTGCAGGCGACCGGTTTACAACCCAAAGGCAAAAACGGCACCAACGATGCCTACACCATCATCCAGCTGGGCAAGGAGAAATACTCCACATCTGTAGCGGAGAAGACGGCTAACCCCGTTTGGAAAGAGGAGGCCTCGTTCGAGTTGCCGGGTCTTCTGTTGGAGGGGAACCCTGAAGTTTACGAGCTGTGCCTCACCGTGATGCATCGCTCCTTAGTCGGGATGGACAAGTTCCTGGGTCAGAAATTCATCAACCTGAATGAAATCTTTGATAATAAGGAGAGAAAGAAAATTGAGTAAGTATTGTTTTGTGTAATTTAAGGTCCTGTAGATCAACGGTTCCTACAGGTTTCACCTTCTGATCTCAAAAATATGAGTTTTAGAGACTTGTGACTCGTCTGTCGCCCCTTGAAGAACAAAAATGATCCAGTTGAACCATTTCCCTCTTTTGGAATTCATTTAAAACTATTTTTATGTTTTGTAGCAATAATGACAAATATACATGATCTGGAATCAGTTTTGTGTTTAAAATGACACGTGTCATCTTAAACCGCCTCGGTTGGTGGATCAGGACCCACGATGGAGTCCAGACCCCGACCCTGGACTTACTGTAGATCACTGAACCCATCTTTAGTTTAATCCTCCAGAATAAAGTCATTAAAATAAAAAAAGAGCACCCTGAAAGGATGAAAATAAACCACAAACATTTCTACAAAATGTAAAAACATTTAAGAATTTATAAATAAATATATTTATCACTAATATTTGGACCATTGAAGTTGAAAGTTTAAATATTCACGAATATTTTGGTCACAAGTGGATTAGAGTGGATTGATTAATCTGGTCTCATTCAACAAGCGCTCATCTCATATTAAAGGGATAGTTCAGATAATCTGAGTGGAGTTGTCACTTGCAGTAAAAATCACAGATTATCTTTAGTTTGAAACGTTAAAGTTCTGAGACGAGCTAACAGCTGATCTGAGCCGCCCCGGGTCCAAAGTGTTTGTTTTTAAATCGGTGCTTTCTTTGTTCCTCTGAGCAGATAAATAGTTGAATAAACCAATTCTTTAAAGAGGCGTGTGTGAAGTTTTAAACCGTGTGAGCGGTTGTCACTCAGAGTATGAGCTGGGCACTACTCTCAGCTACAACCACACCGACTTTTACCGTAGAATCAACTAAGTGTAACCGTTTTGATTTGACTCAAAGGAGTTTGTTTTTCTCATTTTGTGACTTAACGTTTACATTTCCACCTCGTTGCAGGTTTTTGTTGTTAAACTCTTACTGACCTACATTGTTGAGATTCGTGGCGGTTGAAGTGAAACAAGTGGAGCTGGACGAACGTGTCCTGTAGCCGCTCCTTTTGCTTGTTCCCTCCAGAGGAACCGGGTTTGGATCGAACTGAGACCTTTGAGAAACGAGTGATCGGCTGTTGGTGTGGAAGCTGATCTGTGCTGGACGGTTCCACCTACAGTACCGCCTTCATACCAGATATTAATTAAAACTGTCAAACGAAACGTTTCAAACTGATAATCTGACCCAAACAAAACAAACCCGCCCGGCTAAAGGACAAACACTGAGGACTGAACACCCTCGGCTCGTTTGTCTTTTATATTTTTCAATATATTTAACTTTACTTACAAATACTTTTTCATAAAAGTACTCTGAGATCTCTTCCCTGAAAACCGTTCTCTTTATAATCTGCTTCAGCAAACTGATCATTCAATTCCAATTTTAGCTGGTCTTCTGTTACTTTTAGCTGGCATTTTGCAACTTTTAGCTAGTTTTATGCTTCTTTTAGCTGGCATTTTGCTGTGTTCAACTAGCCCAGTGCTACTTGTAGCTGGCCTTAGGTTTCTTTTAGCTCGCCCTAAATTACTTTTGGCTCACCATTTGCTGCTTTTAGTTAGACTTATTCTACCTTTAGCTGGTGTTATGCTACTTTTAGCGAGCAGTATGCTACTATTAGCTGGCCCTATGTGCCTTTTAGCTAGTTGTTTTTAGCCACCGTCCGTTACCTTTACCTTTTGTTCTTGTTTCAGTTTTCTGCCTTCTTTAGCTGTAACAACTCAGTTTCAGCCTCTTCGGTAATCCTCAGCTCTCGAGTTTATCTGAAGCTACGATCGTGTTTTATTTGAGGCGCTGGTCTCGGCTGTTCAGGTTTACGTCACCGTTCAGCTAATGACGGTTAATTAACTTCATTTGTAGATTTATTTTGAGGACCACTAGAGGGATCCTGAGTACCACCGGTGGTCCTTGTGCCACAGTTTGAGAACCCTGGGTCCTACGTTAAACTAACAGGAACCGTCTGACCCGACTGGGTCTGGTGTTGATTAAACCCGTCTCGGCCTGGACCGACACCAACACGTTTCCTCTGGGCCCATTAGTCGGGAGAATCTCAATAAGTTCTAATCAGCGTTGTGCGGCTCGTATTTATTTAGGTGTTCTGAAGTGATGCGCCCCGAGGCGCTGCACCTCCGCTCCTCCAATCCCAGCACCGCTGCCAGGCTCGGCAAGACCAGGACCCCTCGGTACCAGGTCCACGCTCCACAGCGGGTCTGTGTCCTCCTCATGGAGGAGGAAACGCCGGCGCTGATATCTGAGCAGGCGGCCCGTAATTATCGTGCACCTGTGTTTGTTGATGATGAGGAGTTTCCCAGCGGTCCGGCTCTGAGTGGGAGCGTTGTGGTTCCAGTACAGGAGGAGGGTTTATCTTGGCCTTGGAGGCGCACGTGAGGCGCAGCGTGCTGTGGCTGCCGAGCCACTTCAGCACGGCGCTCAGCCTGGGAACCGGACCCAGAGGGCCTTTGATGGGTGGACTCCCCGGTCGGAGCCGCTGCTGAAGCCAACACCAACACGGAGCTGGAGGCCGAGGCTCTTCCAGAAGCTTCCACAGAACGTTTTCAACTTGACGGTCCTTAATTAAAACAAAACAAAAGTCTGGTGTTATTTTAGCCTCGCCCAGATCGAGGAGGATGAGCGAGGTGGAACAAACGTCTAAATACCGACGGAGAACTTTACAAACTCTCGTTCCTCCCTGGCCTCGGCCACAAGCCCTTTAAACGCCACAGCCAGTCTCATTAGTCTGTAAGAAGTGCGGCGGGGCGCTCTCATGTGGTTTCAGCTGCTCGTTCTTACATTTCTGAACAAAAGTTCTGCTTTATTTTGATCTCAATAAAGACTTGAGCACCTCTCAAACAAGAAAACTGAAGTTCCAGCTCGTCCTGGTCTTTAACTGGAAACACCCGCGCGTTTACACGACCTTTAAATCTGCTCGCAGTCGTTTCTGCTGCCACTTGAATGAAGAAGTCCCGAGGCTGCGTCACACGTTGGTTTTATATTGAAAGGCAATAAAACAGGAACCGCACGTCGCTCGAATAATGAAACGCTCCAGACTGTCCGTTAGCTTCAGCTGCTTCAACTATAGAAACTATTTGCATAAAAAAATCACCGTACGGAGCCCAGCAGGTGCCTGAGATCAACGACCGCGTTAACGTTTTTATTTTACTTTTAAAGGAGAAACAAAACTATTATCTGTTAGACAGTTTGTATTGTTTGAAAAAATAAAAGTTTAGTTTTTAATCCAGGTTTTAATAAATCGTGTGAATGTTTTTGAATCAGTCACTCCGTGTGTTTTTCAGCATCTTTCTCATTTCAGTTTTCAAACTTTCAACAAATCAAAACTTTCAGCTTCTTTCAGCTGTTTTGTGCTCCTTTCAGATTTTTTTCTGTTAACTACAACAATTTTGTTCTAACTTCTGCTAATTTCAGCTTGTTATGCTCCTTTCAGCTTATTTCGGCAAGTTTCAGCTTTTTCTGATATTTCAGCCACTATTTAGCTGTTTTATGCTAATTTAAGCATGCTTATTGTCTTAATTAATTAATTAGCTAATATGCTAATTTAAGAGAGATGCATTTCTTCAATCATTTTTTACTCAGCACTCTGTTTCTAAATTTCATCTGAGCTAAAGCTTCTGTCTCTGGTTTTATGTCAGCTGGTACGCGCTGGAGTCCAAACCGGGGAAGAAGAAAAAGGGGCGGGGTCAGATCCAGGTCAGCATTCAGTTCATGAGGAACAACATGACGGCCAGCATGTTCGACCTCTCCATGAAGGAGAAGCCCCGCTCGCCTTTCTCCAAACTCAAGCACAAGATGAAGGGCCGCAAGAACGACAGCGGCCTCACCGACGCCTCCTCCGCCATCTTGCCTCGCTCCGCAGCGTGCGACTCGGACCCCAGCCGGCCGCCGCTCCCCACAGAATCGCAACCGAAGCCGGACCCGAAAGTGAAAAGACCCCTGTTGTCCGGGGTCCATAAGCTCTCTGCGGCCCACTCCATGTCGGACCTGATCGGGTCCAACGTTCAACGCAAGCTGGACTCCACGGAGGAGAGCGGTGAGGAGCCAGAACACCCGAAGGACTTTCAAACATTTTCACTTGTGCTAGTGTTAGCTTTGAGCTAAAGTTCGGCTAATTTCACCATTTTACTGCTGAGGTGATAAGCTTAGCTTTTAGCTACAGTTGAGCTAATTTGGTTTTAGCTGCGTCTTTTAATTAACAGTTTTACTCGTTTAAACTTTTAGGCACGTTTTATCTAATTTAGCTTTAGCTAATGTAGCTTTTACCTACTGTTGTGCTAAGTTGATCATTTTTAGCTGAATTATTTGTTGTGAATTTGACCAATCTTTGCTATAAAGAGTTGCTTTACTGGTGTCGGCTTTTTAGTTATGATTTTGCTAAATGTATCTTTTAGCTACCAATGTGCTAATCTTAGCTTTTAGCTACCGTTGTGGTAGTTTAAAGTTTTAATTACAGCCGGTTATTTTATTTTTTCCAATTTCATCTTTTTAGCTCCTGTTTTATTGATATCTGCTTTTAGCTCTTGGTTTGGCAAATTAGTTTTACTTCTGTTTTGCTGATTTTAGCATTTAGCTCTTGAGATGCTAATCTTAGCTTTTAGCTACCGTTGTTCCTATTTCAGGTTAAAGTTTTAGCTCATTTTTGTTGCTCATTTGAGCTTTTAGCTGGTATGGTTCTGGTTTTAGCTTGTAGCTGCAGAGTCGTTTCGTGCACGTGGCTCTGGCTGCTCAACCGTCGTCTCTTCTCTTTATTTCAGATTAAAAGCTGCAGTTTTGGGTCATTCGGCTCCTGCTCTGTTTTCTGAGTGCTGCCGGTTCTTGTCGGTTGGTGCCGGTACCTCCACAGCAGATCTGGGCCGTTCTGGACTTCTTGATGTTTGAACTTTATGTTTAAATTTCATCGTTAAAGCTTCGGCCTTCTCACCGTCTGAGGCGCCGACTTTGTGGCGGTTTTAAAATTTCACCGCGCGGTTTTTGTTGGAAGAAGCCGAATTCCTCCAGTTTTAAAGCTGCGATGACGAAAAACATTTAAAGTTTCGTGTTTTCTCAAACTGTCAAAGAAAATCTCATCAAATGAACCGCACTCACGACAGAAACATCAGCTTCAGCCTTTTTATCGTGGTGTATTATTTTTCGTGAGTTTCATTAATTGTAAGTTTTCCCCCTCCAGGAGGTCCAGGTGGCCCCCACAGGCGTTCCCAGAGCGAGGTGCCGGGACTCCCGGACGGCGAGGGACACGCTGACCCTTTCACCGACATCACTCGCACCCTGCCACAGAAGTATGCCACGCTCCCACTCAATCGCAACCCGTTTGAGGGGGAGCCGGGCCAGCTGTGGGACCGGACGGAGCGCAGGGAGAAGAAGGAGAAGGTCAGCCTCCTGGAGCGCGTGACGGGGAAAAAGGAAGGCCGCAAGGCGGGCAACGGGAGCCGCTCTGGGAGCTCTGGGGACCTGCGGACCCCCAACCCTTTCAGTGGCGATTCACAAGCAGACACGAACCCGTTCTGCTCGAGCTACAGAACCAGGTGGACCTGCTTTTATTTTTAAACACAATCATGACCCACAGCTCTCGAAGCTAAAGAAACAACAAATACTGGAATCAGTCATGAACTTTGTTTTTACTTTAAACGACGTCATTGAGATATTTACCGCCGTTAATACAGAAGGTCGGTTCCTGCGGACTCAGGGTTCTGTTGGGGTCTGGACCCGACTCTGGATTTGTAAAAGCAGATTTATCTCCGTCACAAAAGCATAAAACCTGCGTGGATCCGTTAAAGCTCAGCAAACCTCAAAGGTGGAGAAGTGGCAGCCGTTTTGATCAAACCTTTAAAAACACGTTGCCTGATCTGATGGCGCTCGAGCTGCGGGTGACTCCGCTACTCCCCACAAGAGACCCGGTGTTGACCCCACGACCGTGGACAACAACATACAATCATGAAGGATGCGTACGCATTCATTTTATTTATTTATTTCAACAAGTGAAAATAAGGAAATAAAACGGTAAAAGCAACAAAACCCAGATCGTTGTAAAGTGGTGCAGAAAACTAAAGACGGTTTGTGATTGAGGAGGTTTTCTGCTAAAAGAACAGAATTAAAGACAAACAGCGACAGGACATCAGTTTTTGGTCGGGATCAATAATTAATATTAATTAAATTAATTTGTGAGTGAAAAGCTGAACTTTATTATTTATGACGTTATAGCAGACCTAAATATTCTTTCAACCCATTTTGAAACGTTTCCTTAACATCAAAGATCTTTACGTTAAAACGGTCCTTAAAGTTTTCAGTTTAACAATAATCCTCGTGGTCGCGGAGCAAAGACGGTTCCGGTCCCTCCGTCGGCCCGTCCGCGCTGAGAGCCGCAAACACTTCGTCACGTGTGGCTGGAGCTACACTCGACAAATGGGGCGGCACGTCAGAATCAAAGACGGCCACCTCCACGTGCGCGCGCGCGCGTTTCCACGTGGCAGGGCGCTCAGCTCTTCAAGCGTTCTGTCGACCAGGGTGGAGAGGTGCACGAGAGAAGTGGAGAACTACGTCAGTAGCTTTTTAGCTAGCCTGTCTGTATTGCGCGCTGCTAGCTTAGCGCTGCGTCAGTGCCAGCTGTTTTGGGGGGGGGGTCTCCTTGTATAACGGTAGGGGAAACACTGGTGTGTGTGTGAGCTTGCCTGTCCCATCATTTGATGAAACTCTGCCTTCTAGTTTTTATATTGATTAAAAGTTTAGTTCCTCACATGAGTGGGGTGGCTAAAGATGAATCTATGGGGGCTGAGGCCACCATTGACCCCCCCCGGCTCCATCACTGCACCTGGTGGTGGACAAACCGTCTCCTTCCTCTCCTGGATCTGCGTCGTTCAATCAGAACAACTGTCTGACCCAGTTGCATCTGAAACGTGTAGGTTTACTGAGGTCACCTGTTCGATTCCAGTCCAGAAAAACACTCGTCTCCAAAACTACAAACGTTCACTGTTCAATTTCCTGAGTGGTGGGGGTGGTCGGGAGTGCTGCTCCACATCTGGGTTTAAACGAGAAGCTTCGTTTCTTTCACTCGTAGATTTGAATGAAACCGAACTTCAGGTTCTCCGTCCCGCTCCTCGTCGTGCAGCGTCCGTTTCCTGTGCGACACAGGAAGTCGTTGAGCGCGGTGGCTGGGCGTTCATCAGAGTGGCTCTTCAGAGCGCTCGGGCTCCATGAGAGAAGTCTCCGAGCCGCAGTAACGAGATCCTCCGCAGAGATGGAGCGCCCAATTAAGCACTTACCTCGTCTCATGAGCAGCTCGGCCGCCGTGCGCACGGTGAGCGCTCAGGATGTTTACTGACCACAGCACGTTTGTTTTATCCTCTCGTCTTGAAGGAAACTGAAACCGTGGAGCTGCAGAGGAACGTACCCACCATGACCTTTGATTTCAATTTCTTTTGTTTCCCCAGCGACAAAAAGCAGACGGGAAACGAACCCGGTGGCCAGAAGAAGAAGAAGAAGGAGACGTTCGCCAAGAAGAACGTAAGAACGACTTCTCGTAAAGTAAATAACTAGGTAGTTCAAGGAGCGATGTTCATGTGTCACTCAGCTGTGAGCTGCATGTGCAGCGTCACAGGAACGGCCACGCGTCGCACACAAATCACAAAATGGAACAGAATGGAGATCAGTGGGGTTTTGTGGAAACAGACGAGAAACTGGATCTTCAGACGGGAAGCTCGTGGAAATAAAGCGTGAGGGTTTTCATCGTCTTCCACCCGGTGTGTGTGTGCGTGCGTGTGTGTGTGTGTGTGTGTGTGTCCACATTATATTTCAACCCCAGATCTTCCCTTGGAGCAGGCCCTGAAGGTTCTGTTTAACTTCTCACATCTGCTCCTCAACACCTGTGACCGTCAGAACCTCACGGCTCCAAACTGTTCAGCTCTGACTTATTGTTTCCACGCAACCACTGAGGCTTACTTTTTAGTCCGTCTCTCAAGTTTGGTGACAGATAACAGCTTCAACGTTTATTTTAGTCTTTTCACACTCCTTACAGTTCAGACGTCCAAGAGTTGGTTTTATTTTAGTTGTTGAGTGAATCACACTGTTGTCGTCCTGTTTATATTTATTCTGACTTCTAGCATGTTCCGTACGTTTATGGGCGCGATTCTCATCCTTCAGTTTTCAAATTATTTCAACAAATCATGAATCAAAACGTTCGGCTCTTTTAGGACAATCCTGCTCTGACTCTTGGTATTGGTGCAACTTTAGCTGTTTGAAATATTTAGCCTTTTCCGACATTTTTTCTCATGAAAATGAACTGATCTCATGTTCCATCCTTCAGTTCTTTAACATCTGTTTACAGCCTTTCACATTTTGTTCTGCTTCAGCTTCCTGCTGCTAATTTAAACTATTTTCAGCTTCTTTTAGCTAATTTCATCTGTTTTACGCTCCTTTCAGCTTTTGTTGCTATTTCAGCTACTATTTAGCTGTTTATGTTAATTGTATCCTTTTCAGCTAATTCCACTTTTTTAAAGTGATTTCATCTTTTTTCAGCTGAATGTGCTCGGTCCACTTCCCTCTGCTAGTTTAAGCTTCTTTCTGCTCCCCAGCAGTTTTCAGTCAGGTCATCTGGACAGCTTCTCTTCTGTGCTGAAACGTTTCACCTTCCATCCAGAAGGCTTCATCAGTCAAGGAAACAAACGTTTCAGCAAGAAAAAGAAACTGTCCAGATGACCTGACTGAAAATCGTTGGATTATTTACCTGGATTATTGAGCATGGACTATTTTTGTCGTCTTTCTGCTATTTTAGCTACTTTTTATTTGTGTTAGTTTTTGATCATTTCAGCTTTTTTCAAATAATTTTCACTTTTTGTGCTTCTTTCAGCTTTCTGCTAATTTCTACCTTTTCTGCTACCATTTTAGCATTTTTAGCTAATTTCCGCTGTTTTCAGATAAATTCAAGTTTTTCGTGATAACAACAAAAAAGCTTGAATCGTTTCATCTGGATCAGTTTCTTTAAGTGAGAAAAGTGTCATCCAGAGGACTTCCTGATTGTTTTTGCTACTTTCAGCCAAATTAACTTCTTAATGCTAATTTCAGCTTATGTTCCTTTCAGCTTTTTAAAAAAATTGATTTCAGTTTTTTAGCTAATTTCCTAATTTCTGTTCTAATTTCTTCTTAATTAAACCTAATTCAGCAAATGTGTTTTTTCTTCTGCCTTCTTAGGCTTGTTCTTCCATTTCAGCTACTTTCAGCTACTTTCAGCTGTTCTTCAGCAGCAACTTGGATCTTATCACAGTTTTCTTTAGATCCAAAAAAGTTCAATCTGGTCCTCTGGACATTCAAAAAAAAAATATATATATAGAAACGTTTCGTCTCTCATCCTGAAGACTTCCTCAGTCTGAGGTGCTGTATTCAGCTCAGTCTCTTAAATAGCACCTTCTCAGAGTGGATCAACCAGTTTTGCTGCTGACAACCAGACAACAGGAATGCACGTAAAGAGATCATCTTTTGATGCCATCATGGAGACTGATGAAACAATGGTCTCTTTTGATGTCACATCACTCTTTACGTGCATTCCTGTTGATGATGCAGTAGAGGTGGTCAGTTTAAGATTAAAATCAGACACCACTCTGAGCAGCAGGACCACACTTTCCACAGAACAACTGTGTCAACTCTTGAAACTGTGCCTGCAGTCAACCTGCTTCACATATGGGGAGCAATATTATAGGCAGAAACATGGGTGTGCTATGGGGTCTCCAGTTTCTCCTATTGTTGCCAACCTGTACATGGAGGAGGTAGAAAAGAGAGCCTTGACGTCCTT